GGGTCATTGGGCATCAAGCTCCTGCTGAGCCTGAGGAAGGCAATCGAAACAAAACTGCCTTAAGAACCTTTAGAAGGTGGATGAGAAAAGACAACCACTGGGGTGACTTGTATTGGGCCAAAATCCCTCTGTGGGACAAAAAGAAGAAAACAATCTTTTTGGGTTCCATCCCATTTTTGCTGCCACATGAAGCGCTGAGCCAGTACATGGCCTTGCCAGGTGCCAAGGATGAAGCAATCCCAGCTAGGGGGACATGGTTGGAAAACAAGCTGAGGAGAGTGTGCTTGGCGTGGGAAGAGCCTGCACAAGGCATGGTGCCTTTGGCAATCCATGGAGATGGTGTGCCTGTGCAAGGCAGAATGAATCAATCCACTGTGGACTTCCTGACATTCAACTTCCCTGGGAGCCTGGGCAAGGCGCACAAGAGGATTCCAATATGCTGCCTGGATGCCCAATGGAATGCTGGAGATCAAACAATCAATGCCATTTGGGAGGTCATCAAGTGGAGTTTGGAGAGCCTGGGCCAAGGCAAGCATCCCACTGCAAGACGTGATGGGTCAGAGTTCTTGCCACATCAAGATGACTCCAGAAAGAACAGGGCAGGCCAGAGCCTGAGCAAGGCTGCCCTGGTTTACATCAGAGCCGACTGGGACTTCTTTTGTAAGTGGCTGGCAGTGCCACAATTCAATGTAAAAACTGGGATGTGTTGGATGTGTGCTTGCACCCCTGAAGAGTGGAGAGCATCCTCCAAGGAGCAGCGACACAAGCAGAGCCTGAGTAAGGCAGACTTCATCAGTAAACATCTTGTTGGAAGGAAGAAAACAATCCCACCAATCTTCCATCTCCCAGGCATCGACAACAATTCATTGCAGCCAGATTGGATGCATTGTGTGGATGAAGGTTTTGGATCCTGTGTGGCAGGGAACATATTGTACAGTCTTTTGCCAGGATATGGCGCCAATAAGGAACAGCAGATCAAAGGATTGTGGGAACACATCCTTGACCTGTATGGGAGGTTGAAAATCCCATCAGACAAAAGATTGTCCAAATTAACATACAAAGACATAAAAAGAGACCAGAAGGCACCAGAGCTGCAGGTCAAAGCTTCAGCCATGAGGCATTTTGCTGTCCTTTTAGAACCTCTTTGTCGAGAGAAGAGCCTGCACGAAGGCAACCTTGAACAAAAGGCCATCTACAAGGTGGCAAAATATGCCACCAAGATGCACCACCACCTCGAGGTCTTCAACCCTGCAGAGCTTGCACAGCAAGGTGAAAAACTGGTGAGCCAGTACATGGCTTTGGAAAAATATCACACCAAACTCGACTCTGACAGCAACCTGTGGCATGCCAAGCCCAAGGTGCACTTGCTGTGGCACATCCTTGACAAAGTTGCTGGTGAGGGTATGAACCCAAAAGACACATGGAACTACAAAGATGAAACATTTGGAAGCAAAATTCAATCCTACTTCTTTAGAAGAGGGGGCTCTCCAAATGCTGGGTCAGATGCAGAGAAAGTTCTTTTGTCATTCATGAGCAATGAACCTTGGCTAGGCATCCTTGAGCCTGAAGCAGGCACTTGATCCATCTTGGCCCTACACAGCCAATGTTGAGCCTGACCAAGGCAATCCTGAGCCTGAGCAAGGCCAACATTTCGATGTTTCACTGACTGACATCTTACTCCATGCGCAAAGGAAAACATGTAGCTTGCTGCACAATGCATGTGTTCCATGTCTAAAAAACTATTGTTTCTAACTTTGAAGAAGCTCTTCTTCGCACATCAAAGAAGCGCTTCTTCAATTTTGAAGAAGCTCTTCTTCAACCTCCAGAAGCCTACTTTTGGGGAAGCCAGGTTTTAGAGCTTCGAAGCTAGGTTTCAAAACCTAGCTTCCAAAACTGAGCTTCTTGGAGGCTTAGGGTACTAAGGGCTCCTGGCATCGCTACTAGGAGCAAGGGCGCTACTAGCGGCTCCTGCCATCGCTACTAGGAGCAAGGGCGCTACTAGGGGCTCCTGGCATCGCT